TAGATTTGTTTTTGAGGAGGAAGGAACATGGGGATGGGTATCTTCCAGGAAAGAAAAGTTTGAGGCAAGGCGAATTCATATATATGAAGTGTTGTGGTTGTATGTCTGGATCCCCTTGGGGGTGTGCTCTTTCCAAGGGTTCAGGGATCGGTGCTAATAATTCCTTGAGGCGTGGTGCACTTGTGGGAAACTGCTTGTCGAGGGCTTGTGGGTGGACACCCTGGTGCTTTGATTTGGACACCCCGGTGCCATTCAAAAAAAAAGAAAAAAGAAAAAAAAGTAGCTTTATGGGTGGACACCAGCCTCAAGAGAGGATCGATACTATTCATAATTTAGTAAGAAGAGGTAATTACCACCCTAATTGGTTTTGCATGTGTAAAGGTGCAGTGCAAGCGCTAGTCTTTGACTTGTTACTCGATGGTGAGTTTGTTCCATCATTTTCTCATTATTTGTCATCTATTGGGTTATGTCTTTCTCAATTTGTCTGGCGTTTTGAATCCGAAGGAGGGCAGGAATCAGACAAGAATTGGATTGGTTTGAAGGCGTCTTTCTTGTGTTTATGTGGTAGAAATTTGGGAGGAACTTGATAGTTGTATCTTTGAAGTTGAGGACCGTCTGATCTAGAAAACAAAGCATTTAAAGCTTAGTTCTCAGTTCTCTTTGTTTAAGGGAGGCAACCTTTGATAGCTTTGTAGATCAGTTGGAGGATGCATGGGTATAGTGATGCATCATGCATACCTTTGATTCTTATGGCACTCGCATTTTCCTTCTTTCCCATGACCTATGCATGTGTTGATCTCCTTCTATAAAAAAGAGAAAATTTTACAAAGTGGACAGTATTATAAGACTAACTTAATATGTAACTCGGTTTCGGTAACAAATAACAATTTCCTTTGAACAGAGGTTACCCTATGCTTTTTCTTTTTTCTTTTATAATTAAAGGGAGAAAGGGGAGAAAGAAAGATCAAATGAGAGTCAGAAGATGGGAGAAGGAGGGTGCATCTCGTCTTCCAATCTTTTGCTCAAAAGAGAAGAGGAGGGGGAAAAGAAAAAGACAATGAGAGAGGGAGGGTGTAAAAATGAATTCCATGACTCTTTATTGAAAAAAAAAAGAACACTTCTTTAATCTTAAAAAAAATTATTAAAACCATATTAACTGTTTATTATTTTAAAAACCAAATGTGCTTTTGATGTAGGGTTACACATATCCAATTAATCTGTTTGTTTGTTTGTTTGTTTGTTTTTTTTTTTTCGCACGCACATTAAAGCTAACTAAGTATGCTTGAACTACTTGACCAATTCCAGCAGATGACTTCAACCTGTTCCTTTTGGAGCTGATAGCACTGAAATGTATTTGTATTTCTTGTAGGCTGCTTTGATTATCGTTTGTTGCAATTAATAACTGCAAATATTAATGTCTTAGCTTTTTGAGGCAGATAAAGAGCTATTAGTTTGTCTCATTCCTGCACTGTATTTTCATCCTCTGTTTCAATGAAGTGTTGAAATTTCTTTTCAGGGACGTGTAGTGGTCTCTTGTTGGATTCAATTGTAGTACTATATTATATTTGAAAAAATACTGTTGCTTTTGTTGGTTTCCATTAGGTAACTATGGTGAGTTGGGCTCATACAATTTGGTAATTAACATATACAATGTCAACAGATGTGTCTCTATCTTAGGCAGTTCTAATTTCTATTTATATGGCTACTACAGTAAGAAAGTTTCCAATTTTGATACCCAGATTTGATATCGATGGATTTGTAACTGGGTTTGGCAACCCAGATTGGGCAAGGACACATGAAGCTGCCTCTCAAACATCACCTGTGCTTTCAGCTCTTATTGAAGGAGGTGCCACATGCATTGGGAAAACGGTTGTGGATGAAATGGCATTTGGGTTTGTACTTGACTTTTCAAAAATTTCAATATTACTATCTAATAAATGTGGGCTTGGGGTTTCACACAGTGGACAAATGATGAATGCCTACCTTGACTTTGAGTAGAATAATGGAATTCTTTTGACAAAGATAACATCTGTTGCACCGATCTTAGTGGTATCATATACAAGTGTATATTGTTTAGATGTACTCATTGTAGTGATTCTTCATGTTTTATTTTTCAGTATCAGCGGAGAAAATAAGCATTATGGTACCCCTACCAATGCTGCTGCTCCTGCACGAATACCAGGAGGATCCTCTAGTGGAGGTGCTGTAGCTGTGGCTGCTAGTCTTGTTGACTTCTCCTTGGGTAAACCTCTTACCATCTTGAACACACATTCTTTTCTGCTGAGTTAATAATAGGTTGATCCATATTTACTTATTATGTCGATGAAACATTTTATTGAGTTTCTTCTATCTATTTTTTTTTATTTATTTTCTGCAGCCAGGGGGTGTGGGGTTCGTCTGAGGGAACATTAGTTTGTTTGATCTTATAACAAAGCAATCATGTTTGTGGTTATCCTACAATAACCTTGACGTTTTGTTATCCATTACTTGACCCTTTTTCCTAGTGCCCAAAAATACACAACCTTCATTTGGTTATAATTAAACATCTTTTTGGTAAATGTACTTGTATTATTAATTCACAATTGTTGCAGGATGCTTCTTTGTTCTATATACATATTAGTGTAAAACCTTGTTATTAATCCATAGCTTTGATAGCTGTTGATTGAGTAATCATTTGAGATTGCTGGTTGCATACGATTGCCCCCATGTTGTTTCTTAAATGAAAAGTGCTTGTGTATTTTCATTATTGTTGAAACCGTATGCCATACAAGGTGATGACTGTTCTGTTGTTTTGGCATCTGGATCATTTCATGGCTTCTATTATGTAGTTTTCGAGCATGCATTTTATTATAACATTCTATGACAGGTATTGATACTGATGGTGGTGTGAGAGTACCTGCTGGATATTGTGGGGTGATAGGGTTTCGACCCTCACATGGAGCTCTGTCTCACATTGGGGTTATTCCTGTTTCATCAAGTTTTGACACTGTCGGTACGCTTTCAAATTTTTTATATGTTAACGGTTATAAGAGGTTTGTATTTTATTGGACTATTACATGACTACCTATTTTTTATGTAGTAATTATTTTTTCATCAATGTTTCTTTAGCAGTTCAAGTTACTGAGAAATGCCGTTGCTTATCTTGCAACTTTTCCTATGATAAATCTATAAATATGATGTGGTGCAATACAATGTTAAAGGAGAGAGATGATAATTCTAAGTTATTTCCTAGGGTTGGTTGTGAATGGGAAAAGGAAAAAGAAATTCATGAAAAGATCGGAGATAGGTTTTGGGAGGATTGTAAATACGGAAGATCAAATTGTAAATGAGACTTTATTCTTCTTTGTATTCTTGAGATGGGATTTATAGGCTGGGGATTGAGGGGTTGTAGTGGTTCCCAATTGATGCCTGTAGCCTGTAGGTCAAGATGGTTCGAGAGGCCTTTTGATGAAGAAGTGAGAGTGGCAGTGTTTGAGTGAGAAGGATAAGTTTATGGAGTCTAATAGTTTTTCTATAGCTATTTGGCGAGCCATTGAAGACTACCTAAACATAAAAAGTAATGCATTCTCCATCTCTCTCTTTCTCTTTCCCCTTTTTCTTTCTCATTGGAGAATACAGATTAAAAAATAATATTTTTTGCAACGGCCACCTAAAATAGAGTCTTGTTGGATTACATACTAGCCAAAGTGGCTAGCAAAAATAGAAAGTGAATTGTTTTGGTTACAGGAGTGTTGGAGTTGTTCTTCAACTTTGGGGTAATTGGTTGTCTGCCGATTAGAATGCCATTTAGTTACTATATACTTCCCTTTTAGCCTTTGTTTTTGACCTCTAACATCACTTCTGTAGGATGGTTTGCGAAGGATCCCAATATACTACGTCGTGTTGGGCATGTGCTGCTGCAAGTACCATTTGCAGTTCAACGTAATCCCAGAAATATTATCATAGCTGATGACTATTTTCAAATGCTAAAGATTTCTGCTGATCGGGTCACTCAGGTGGTGATTAAATCCACTGAAAAGCTATTTGGAAGTATGTTCTTTTGCTGTATAATGCATTCCTATTTATTCCTAGTTTGTAATGGATTTTTATTAGAAATTTTCACTTTTCCATTGAGGAGTTCCCCTGCATAATTTTGTAGTAGCACATTTGCAGGACAAGTTTTAAGGCATGAGAATCTTGGAGACTATTTTGATGCTAAAGTTCCAAGCTTGAAAGCATTTTATGGCAAGAAATCAAATGGTGAAGTAAAATCTTCTTCAATAAGATCTCTAGCTAATGCCATGCAATTAATTAAAAGGTGAGGTTTGTAATTAATATTATTGGGAAATCATTTTATTGCAACTTCAGCTTATATTCATTAGTTTGTTCTCTTTTGATTGGCACTGGTCTCTTAATATTGTTGAGGCTCTGCTGTTTGAATGCCATCTTAATGCAGCCTCTTTTGATCTAAATAGTTTTCTTTAATTTGTCGGCTGTTTTGGTTATTGTGATTTTATTTTTATTTTTATTTTTTTGGTCCTTGATCCTTTTCCCTGGGTTGGCATGGGGCTGGAATTTTGTTTTCATGCCAACACTGTAGTTGCCCGATTGTGGAAAAGGGGAACATAAGGTGATGGGAAGCTTGTATGGAGCTTCGGAGGAAAAGTTGAAGCGTTACAAGTATTCTATGGGGAGCACCAATTTTTAACAAGAGGAAGAAGCATTTATAAATACAATCAACTAGAAATCTGGAAAAAAATTCATAACAATAAACAAAATGACGAAGGTACCTCACATATTAGCATGCTGCAACTCTTTTTAGTATTTCTTGTTCGTGTTTCAAATGACTTGTTAAAACCTACCATCACCTACTCCACCTACTACACCTACCACCACCTACTACCACCTACTACACACCTACCACTACCACCTACTACCACCTACTCCACTACATCTCCTATATAAGGAGCCCCTCACCATTTGTAATTAGAAAACATTAATCAATAATACATACAATTTATTCTCTCTCTATTTCTCTTTATACATTGATTTTTTCACATGGTATCAGAGCAAGGTTGAGAACTTAGTATTTTTCGCTTCACCGGCGGGCGGCAACCTCGCCTTGGCCGCCTGCCGGACCTCAGCCTAGTCTCGCTCCTGTGCTTATGCCATTCCACCCAGGCCCAATATGCCTCCTCTCAGCCCACTCTCTTTCAGCCCAAAGTGCACCATTGGGCTGTACATTGTCACCCCGGCGCATAGTAGTGGCGCCGCCTGTTCTACTGCCATCCCTTCTGGAATGTGCACCCCAAACTTTTGATCAGTGACCATGGAGCCAGCAAAGCCACCTTGGGTGGGTTTACCATCTGTGTAGATATCATTGTAGGACCACATCTTCTTGTTGCAGTATTGCTCTTTGACTGATTTGCCAGGACTACAGTTTCTGCAGCATCCAACGATGCATCCAACTCCCACTGTGTCTGCTATCTTGCACTTGCTCACATTGGATCCCACCTCTATCACTTCACCAACCACTTTATGCCCTGGAACCATGGGGTAATTGGACATGCCAAGATCATTCTTGATCTGCTGAATATCAGAATGGCAGATTCCACAACAAATCACCTTGATGAAAACATCTTCCGGACCAATGTTCCTGAGAGTGTAAGTATAAGGAGAGAGTACCCCAGAAGGTTCTGTTGCAGCCCATCCTATTGTTGTTCTTTCGTCCTCCAAGCTACCCATCTGCTCTTACTTTGCCAAGAAAAGTTGCCTCCTTTGTCTCCGACACCGTGCCGCCAGCTTCTTCCTTTGCCGGTGCCGTTTCCGGCGGCGGAGCCTCGTTCTTCAACCCTTTCGGCTTCGTCGTACAGTGGCTCAGTGAAACAAGTGGGTTCCAACCAGAGAACCAGAAAGGGTGGTCAGTCCGCGTTCAACTGACCAAATTCTGGGTTTCTGATCTGTGTTTTGAACGAGAGAGAGAGGAGAGAGAGAGAGAGAGCTGCACGCACAGACTCATCATCAATTATCGGATAGAAAAATGTGGATGTCCGTTCTGCCGGAGGAGCTGTGGAGCAGAATTATTATTATTTTATCAGACTCATGGGCCGTAAGGCATCTCATGTTGCTTTGGAATGCACTCTTCAGTCACATCCAAATATGGTTATCTCTCTCCTCCACACCAAAACAGCGCTGCAATCTGTTATGGTGTTGGAGAAAGCAGCGGCACTATCTCTCGATCTGCTGCATATCAGAATGGCAGATTCCACAACAAATCACCTTGATAAAAACATCTTCTGGACCAGTGTTCCTGAGAGTGTAAGTATCAGGAGAGAGTACCCCAGAAGGGTCTGTTGCAGCCCATCCTCTTGTTATTCTTTCGTCCTCCAAGCTTCCCATCTGCTCTTACTTTGCCCAGAAAAGTTGCCTCCTTTGTCTCCGACACCGTGCCGCCAGCTTCTTCCTTTGCCGGTGCCGTTTCCGGCGGCGGAGCCTCGTTCTTCAACCCTTTCGGCTTCGTCGTACAGTGGCTCAGTGAAACAAGTGGGTTCCAACCAGAACCAAAGAAAGGGTGGTCAATCCGCGTTCAACTGACCAAATTCTGGGTTTCTGGTCTGTGTTTTGAACGAGAGAGAGAGGAGAGAGAGAGAGAGAGCTGCACGCACAGACTCATCATCAATTATCGGATAGAAAAATGTGGATGTCCGTTCTGCCGGAGGAGCTGTGGAGCAGAATACTAAACTTCAAAGACCTGTGTTGCTTACCCACTTTCTCTCTCCTCCTTTATTATGTGAGACTGATGATGGGGTAGCACAGCAGAGATGCTCCACTTTTTATCTCTTTCTTTCCAAACCCAACACTCTCTCTCTCCACTTTATCACATGGGCTTGTCCCCTCTCTCTCCTCTGTTTTCAAAATCAATTCTTTTTATTTATTTTTTCCAAACCACTTTTAATCCCTACCCCCAACTTTATTTTGAAACATCATGTTCCCTTCGTCATCCACCTCACACCGATCTTTCTCAAATAACCCATCAAAAAAAAAAAAAAAAAAATCTATTTTTTATTTTATTTTTTTTTTATTATTCAACAAAACACCACCACAAAATAACAACACAAAATAACACCACAGCCATTCCACAAACTTGTCATTTCTTCATGCCGGGGATCAACCCCGATCAGCATTTTACAAAAAAAAAAAAAAAAAAAAAAAAAAAAAAAAAAAAAAAAAAAAACAAAAAAAAAAAAAAAAAAAAAAAAAAAAAAACCAAACAAACAACAACAAACAACACTGCACACCAAACTCCTTTATTCATGCCGGAATCACCCCGATCACAATTTTACACCACAAAAAAAAAAAAAAAAAAAAAAAAAAAAAAAAAAAAAAAAAAAAAAAAAAAAAAAATTAGCGACCAAACTTTTGGTCACCAAAGATTAATTGCAAATATTATGTTGGTAATTTGGCGACTAAATTTCTTTTGAAACTGTTCGCATTCATGTTTTGCTTCAAACCTGGGCGCCAATCTATATCACTAAAATTTTACACCTTTGGTGACTAAATTCACTTTGTGTCAAAAAATCTTAATTTACAACGACTAAAGTATTTGGTAGCCAAATCTGAAGTAACGGCAACTAAAATGTTAGTTGCCAAAAGTACCAATTTGACAACTAAATTTTTTTTGTCGAGAAAAATGAGTAAATGACGTCTAATTTTTTTTTATCTATGACCAAAATAGTTCAATAACAATTAAAACGGCATAGTTTTATTATCTGCGACCAAGATATTTTAGTCGTTTTTCAGAAGTTTTTTCCCGTTTTTTTTTGTCTTCGCTTCTGCCTCAAGCACAGCCTCCGCCTCAGTTTATAAAGACCCTGACGAAGAGGCAGACACGCGCATCATGCGCCTCTCGGCGCTCGCCGACAACATGGGCGCTCCTTTTGATAGGTACGCCTTTTGATGGCACGCCTTTGCCTTTTGATGGCACGCCTTTTGATGGCACGCCTTTTGAAAAATTGAGCGCACCTTTTGAGGATGCGATTTTTTTATGGGTCCGACAAGACTCTGTAAACTGTCTCGACATTGATTCCGGTTAGCTCCTTTATGGGTCTGACAAGACTCTGTAAACTGTCCCGACATTGATTCCGGTTAGTTTCTACAAGGGTCCAGCAAGACTCCGTAAACTGTCTTCTACACCGGTCCGACATGACCCCATAAACTGTCTTCTACATCGGTCTGACACGAGCCAGTGTCTTCTACATCGGTCTGCCATAACCATACAGTCTTCTACAACGGTCTGACACGACCATACAGTGTCTCCTATCCATTTTTTATTTTTCAGATTATTTTCTTGTTTTGTTACTCTCTCCAAACTCAAGTTGGTTAGTTCCTATCCCCCTTGAGTTTGCGGGGGGCTGTTAAAACCTACCATCACCTACTCCACCTACTACACCTACCACCACCTACTACCACCTACTACACACCTACCACTACCACTTACTACCACCTACTCCACTACATCTCCTATATAAGGAGCCCCTCACCATTTGTAATTAGAAAACATTAATCAATAATACATACAATTTATTCTCTCTCTATTTCTCTTTATACATCGATTTTTTCACATGACTCTAGGCTAATTCTTAGATGTAATTTGGAGATGAGGCTATCATGAGATCATGCATGGCATATAAGTTGAAGAGGTCAAAAATATCATAGTGATATGAAAAGAGAAGGGAAAGAAAGAGAGCAAAATCAACATATGCCAAAGATTTTGATCACACAATGACACCAGAAGGGAGACAAATACTTAAGTTCGCTGGCTGAATATTGGATTGGTTCCTTTGCTGGTAGGAAATAGATGTTATCATTTTAATTTGTTTGGGTCATCCTTGCTGCACTACATCATTTTCAGAGAAGAAGCAGGATGTGAGGCGAGTGCTCTTGCCAATTGTTTATTGGTTGAATCACTTTCTACCATTTAAACCAGTCTTGATGAAATGTTATTTTGGTTCAAAGGATTTCACTTAACTAGTGAGCTTGCACTCATCATGTTACCTCTTATTTGCTTATTTTGGATGAAAATATTAGTCGATGCCAAAACGAAACTAATCAAATTCTTCTTCTTATGCTCAATCACAAAAGTTCTTCAGAAATTGTGTCCGGATGTGTGTAGTTTGTTCATGTGTTTGATCATGTCCAGAAGTAAGTTTATCCTTTCATCTTTCAACTTATAGCGTGTGATGTGATCCCTTGCACATATGAAAAGACAGTTGAATGCATCAATTATTATTTCATGATCTTAATAACTTTTTGTGAATATGTGAAGTTGAGTTTGTTTCAATAACCCTTTACACAGGCATGAGTTCAAACATAATCATGAAGAGTGGATCAGCTCAGCGAAGCCTACTTTGGATCCTGTTATCAGAGCACAAATACATGAAAGTTTGGAGATAGAAGATAAGGAGATTGAGAGCTGCCATACAATTAGGAATGAAATGCGCATGGCATTGAACCCACTTCTAAAGGTATTGCCTTTAATTTTATTTTTCTCTGGGATAGATGATTAAATATGAACTCCTAAACCCACCCCTTCCTTTCTGATGCCATGCCAGCCCTTTTATGCCTTGTCATTCTGCTTTCACGCATCATTTGATTATGGATTCTAAGTCTTAACTTGCTTATAAAAAGAAAAAAACGATTCTAAGCCTATCTTTTGAGTTTGCTTTGTTGTTCCTTTTAGCGTACATTAACGGTACTATCTTAGATGCTAGATAGAATCATCATGCAAGGGTATGAACTTTCTGTATCTCTCAAATGGCAGGTAATTTTTGGACCTATTTGACTTTTAGGCTAACAGCCAACAACATACTGCCAAGTGCTGAAATGTCAAAAGTTTCTCTGAATTGACAATGGTCTTGTGGACATGTTGGACATGCCTATTTTTGAAGTTGAAGACCTGTCCAACTTTTATATACTTCACAAATGTTGACAAGGACTGCATACTCGGTTTTTAGCAGGATTTCTTATGCTGTCTATGCCTTATTGATTGGTTTACTCTATGTTTTTTCCACCCCATGCACACATGTTAACACCAATGTTTCAAAGTGGCTTACATGTAAATTGTTTCCAAACCAACACATGTCTGTGTTAATGCAACAGTCTTTTTAGTATTTTAAGAGTCTTTGTTTCTCCTGCATACATTGGTGTTATTGTTTTAATTTGTTAATCCGGAGCTGTTGTTTGCCTCATCTTTGTTGTTACTCTGTATGATTTGGGCAGGATGATGGAATATTGGTGATCCCTACAAATGCTGACCCCCCTCCAAAACTTGGTCACAGGGAGATTTTGTCTGAGGACCGCCTGAGTCGTGCATTTAGTCTTTTGAGTTTAGCTAGCATGTCAGGTTGCTGTCAGGTGAAACCCTCCTCTTCTCTTCTCTTTTTCCTCTCTGTCTCTCATTTATTTGCCACTCAAGAAAGCAAAAAAATTAATTTCCTAAAAAAAATAAAAGAAAACTTCCTGTGGTTTGTTGAGATTGTTGTATCTTCACTACTATTTTATTTTATGTCTTCACATGCTACTTTTTCTTCTATGTTCTCATGTCATCTGCTTTACAGGTCACTGTGCCACTGGGATTCTATGACAAATGCCCAGTGTCGGTGTCTCTTGTAGCTAGACATGGAGGTGATCGATTTTTGCTAGATACCGTGCAGACCATGTATGCTTCTCTACAGGAGCAGGCTGACATAATTTCAAAGTCCAAATTATCTACTAATGCAATCAGCCAGGAAACATCTGCTGAGATTGCTAAAGAAAAGGTGGACTATTTTTGTTGGAGTAATCTTCAAAGTATTATTTTTTAATCAGTAGAAATTTATTAGAAAATCATCAAGGGCATGCCTCCCATATACTTAAATTAGAAATAAAAACAAGAAACTTATAACACCCAACACATATCCAATGGACCTATAGACTCATTACAGTTCAAAAGATTTGACAAGTTCGAAAATTGCTCCAGTTTCGGAATCACCCTCCCTGAAGTCTTCATATATACAAAGGTTGTTTCACACCCTAAA